TAAGGGAGCCCTTTCACCATATTCTTGCTTGACAACAGCTTCAAGCTTCCAAAGTTGAGATGTCCAAACCTCAAATGCCATAACCAGTCTTTGTCTTTGATAATGGCACTTAAACACTTCGCAGCATTATGTTGGATGTTCAATGTAAACATCTGATTCTTGGACATTCTCACCCGAGCGATCAAATTACCATGATTGTCTTTGATGGTAAGATGACAATCTTTCATGCTGATGTCGTATCCTTTCTCTAGGAGTTGTCCCATACTCAAAATGTTGTTCTTCATAGCAGGAACAAAATAAACATTGGAGATGTAATCATGATCTCCATTCTTGAGCTTGATCAGAATATTACCTCTTCCTTTCACTAAAGTCTTTGAAGAATCACCAAATGAGACTTGTGCTTGTACAGTCTTGTCAAGCTCAACGAACAACTCTCTTTTACCACACATGTGATTACTAGCTCCCGAATCTAGATACCAAACATTGTTTTGGTTTTCAGTGTCTCCATGGTGAACAAACATGATTGCAGGTCCAACTTTGTGTGTTTCCTCCGCGGAAAAATTTGCTTGCTCTCCGGCTTCTGTTGTTGCTCTACTTCGGCATTCATTGCTATAATGCCCGAACTTGTGGCACTGGTAACACTGAACATTGCTTTTGTCAAATCCTGGTCGGTTGTTATAACCACCTCCTCTACCTCTTGCTCTTCCTCTTGGAGCAAAGTGTGGTTGATTTCTTCCTTCTCTGGCTAGACCTCCTCCGCCTCTTCCTCAAAAACTAGAACTTCAGTTATTGTAACCACGACCTCTTCCTCGGCTTCTTTGTGATGTCCCCCCTTGCTCGTTTCTGTCATCTCTGAAAGATAGCTTTGATTGAAGAACTTGCTCTAGAGAACTTGAGGGAGTCTTCTTGTTGATCCTTTGTTCATGAATCTCAAGTGTGCCCATCAACTCATCGATGGTCATGACACTGAGATCCTTAGACTCTTCTATTGCTACAACCACGTGCTCGAACTTTAGACTAAGTGATCGGAGAATCTTCTCTATCACTTAAAGAGATTCCATCTTCTCTCCATATCTTCTCATCTGATTAACAATGGTCAATATTCTGTTGAAGTACTCAGAAATTGACTCATTCTCATTCATGTACAACATCTCGAATTCGCCACGTAACACCTGGAGTCGAACTCTAATCATCTTCTCAATTCCACGGTGTGAATTGCGAAGAATACTCCATGCCTCTTTAGAGGTTGTTGCTGTTGATATCTTCTCAAAACTTGACTCATCAATACCTTTATAGAGTAGATACAAGGCCTTTTTATCTTTCCTCCTTGAATCTTTTAACGCCGTCTTCTGAGCATCATTTAAATTTCCTCCATCTGCGAGAGTAGCTGGCTCGTCATATCCTCGATCCACTAACTCCTACAAATCTTGTGAGGCTAGTAGGACTTGCATTTTAATACTCCAATTTTCATAGTTCTCTTTGTTAAGTTTTGGAAACTGGGCTGAAAGAAGTTGTTTGTGTTGGCCATTGGTTGTCTTTAAAAAAAATATTATAAATTTTCAAGTTGGAATTTGCAAATTCTGACCGTACAGATGTGTCCGGAATATTCCAAATAGTTGGAAAGCACTATTGGATCACCAGAAACAGACTCCGAATGGCTCAAATCAATCCAAAACAAGTTGAACGGTTCAGATCTACGGCTGCACCTTAGCCGCGTCACACTAGATTAATCCTCTGTGTGCTGATGTTAGCGGCTCAGTCAACGCAGCTTGATTAGCGGCGCGATTCAGGCTCGGCTTGGTCAGTGGCTTGGCTCGGTCAACGGCGCGATTCAGGCTCGGCTTGGTCAGTGGCTTGGCTCGGTCAACGGCTTGGAGGCTCGGCTCGGATGATGTCGGCGGATGATGTCAGGCTCTGGTGCGTGTTGCGTCTGGCGCGTATTGCGCGTTGAATGACGCGTCTTCTTCCTCTAGAAGCGCGTGGTGGCGCGTGGGAGCGTGGTGCACGTAAGAACGGCGTCAGGAGGCGCGTGAGGCACGTGCGGGGCCATCCGCTCTGTGTTTTTTACGCGATTTTTATGGTTGTGCTCGTCTTGTCGGGAGCTTCAAGTTGATGTGATCAAAAATAGATTTCGACCACTTTGATTTCTGGGCAATGTTTGAAAACACACTCTGTTTTTGCAATTTTGCAGAATGTCTGCAAATTTAAGCTACCTTCGGCTCTGATACCACTGATGGTGGGAGTGGGGTGCAAACCATTGTTGGTGATTCACAATGAGAGGCTTATAACTGAACCAAACTAAAATTTAATTCACTCAAAAATAAATTCTGAAAAACAAACACAGAGCACTCTTCTTCTTCTTTTCTCTCACACTCAACACTCTTGATACATTTAGCTATTTATAGATAAACTAGTCAATATAAAAGCATACAATAATACAGTGTAAAAACCTACAATTTATGCAGCAATTTTTGACCATTTAGGAACCATGTGTTTAACATGGTGGTTGCCATCCACTTTCAACCATGGTGGCTGCCTACCTTCAAACATGGTAGCTGCCTACCTTCAAGCTTACTTTCAACACATACAGGTCTGTCATTCACCTCATTCCTAAGTGAGGGTGTATAAGATAATGCACTGGACAGTCTAGCAATCTCCACCCCTTCCCACTTATATGGAGCTCTTTTGAAAGATAAATTCCAATACCCTGAGAATGATCTTCTTTCATAGAACAAGGATAGTGTGTCTTTCTTATTAGTTGATAATTTGAAAAGACTTGGAAATTCATCTTTGAGGTAGATATTTCCACTCCATTTATCCAACCAAAATTTGACTCTCTTTCCATCACCAACCTTTATGAGAAAGTTGTCCAGAAAGAAGTTATAGAGGGGGCTGCCTGTGAATGGCAAAAAACATTCATCTTCTGCTATTAATAAGTAATGCAACACACATTTCATCTTTAAATAATAAACAGATACTTCAGTCAAATTTTTAATTTTCCTAAAAGATATAAACTACTCTAACCACCTTTAATACATATATATATATATATATATATATTTAAAGAATGCCACAATTTTCCCAAACTAGAAATGCTGATTTTTATTTATAATAGCGCAAACAATTTACACTAACAATGCACAACATAAAAATACATGCACAATACATATCATGTTTTCCAAGTGTAGTGCTTTTTATTTTGAAAAGTTATATTTATTTTAGTTAGTATCATTTGACTATAAGTAAATGCCTTTTTGTGATTCGTTTTTTCAATTTTTTTGATTTTTTTTTTGGGATGAAAATGGAAAGGTGAAGTGTGAAAGATTCTTTTTAGGATAATTGGTGGCTGAAGTATGATTGTTGAACATTAAAATCTACATTTCTGTTAGTGTTGTTTTCTGGTGTTAAATTGAAGTGTTACATTAGAGTGCTACATTTGAAAAAAGTACACTAAAGAGTTTTCATGTGTTACATTAATTGGAGTGTTACATTTGGAAAAAATACACAAAAGAGTTTTTTTGAAATGTTATGTTGTTACGTTGAAAAAAGTACACTAAGAAATTTTTGTGTGTCACATTGATTGGAGTATTATGTATAGAAAAAGTACACTAAGGAGTTTTTTTAAAATGTTAGAGAAAAGTACACTAAGGAGTTTTTTAGTATATTATATTGAAGTGTTATGTTTGAAAAAAATATACTAAGGAGTTTTTGTGTGTTATATTGAATGGAGTATTACGTTTGAAAAAAATATACTAAGAAGTTTTTTAGTATGTTACATTAAAGTGTTACGTTTGAAAAAAGTGTACTAAGAAATTTTTGTATATTATATTGAATAGAGTGTTACGTTTGAGAAAAAGTATATCAGGGAGTTGTTTTGGAATGTTACATTATTTCATTTGAGAAAAATATACTACGGAGTTTTTTTTTTTTTTTTTGTGTTACATTAAAGTGTTATGTTTTTTGACTTCTACATTAGAGTGTTACGTTTGGGAAAAATATATTAAGAAGTTTTTTGAAGTGTTACGTTTAGTAATTTTAACATTATAAGAAATTCACATTTGTCTCTCAACACATAACACACGTGCGTTTATACTTGGATCCTTTATGTAATTTACACTAGAATGAGACTTTTGTATCTATAAGAAAAGAAAAAAGACCAAACAGTTCATAATATCACCATTTGATATTTATTGGTGCTTCGCTTGAAAAAATATACTAAATGACATAGATTTCAATATAATTACATTAAATTTCTTTAAGGTTTAATGAACATAACACCTAGCCCCTTTTAATCAGTAATTTGTTAATTGTAATAATGAAAAAATAATGTTATCTTTTTACATTGAAATATATATTTTATATTGTTATTAACTTGTCTACACATCATATGAATTATTTTTTATTGATTAAATTTACTAAATAAAGATTAATATAATTATATCAAATTTAAAAACATTATTATAATTTTTTTTTTCTAAGAATTTGATTAAGAAGTGCCGTTAGAACGCATTTAGTAAAAAAGTCATTCCCCTATATTAATGTAGTAAACAGAATTTCATTGCCTACAAGAAATGAATGGGATATGGTAAACTATAACTATTTACCACCTTATGTTTCTAAGTAATAATCTGTCCTCAAAAAGAATACTAATATTAATAATCTCAACATTACAATAGCATCTTTACGGACTCTTTAAAAGAGACTTGTTAACTATCATAATTAGTTTCATGTTATATTATTCACTCCAATAAGTTAACTAGCATGGCAACTATTTTAATAAGATTCTTGCAGGCTAGCTATATTTGGAGTGCATTAGGAGGCTTTTTAAATTAGCTTGTATGGATAATTTATAAAATAAAGACTAGCATTAAAGCGCATAGATAAAAAATTAGTTAGGTAAAATAAAGAACATACCATTTTCATACTTTAACTAGTAAACAATAAAGAGTAACATTGGAATTATTTAATTGACTAGAAAAAAATTTAATCTCACACATTTTTATAGTTCCGACCAACCACCCCCTACCACAACAAAAATTAAAAAATAAAAGATTTCAAGATCACACAATTCAAGCAAAACTAAATATACTCAAAATTTCCAGGAATTTACACAAGCCAAGTGCCTTGACCATTCAATTGTCAATGTCTCATTTGTAGGCAAGTTCTTGAATGTCTTCCAATGATGAATAACATCCATCAGATCAATCAATTTGGCACTTATACTACGACAACAATTTGCATGGACTGTTACCACAGCACTAACATCACTGCTCTTTTGACAAAAACCACTGAAAAACAGAGTGTCCAAGAACCTCACCCTGAGGCCTAAACCTTTACGCACACCTTCATGCAAGAGCATCTCTAGAACATCTTCTTCTTTCTGTAGGAGAGGGTTCAAGAAAAGAGTTGGAAAATTCGAAGATCTTCAAAGATCCTTGAAGAACAACTTCGAATTCTCTAGAATATGATGAGAGGCTTAGATTCTTCAATAATCTCAACTTAGGAACACAACAACAAAGGAGATGATGGAGATAAGAGATTGGGTGAAGAAGAAGGCAAAATGGCTAGAGAATAGAATAATGGCAAGGCTCTCCCATTGATCTCCCACTTTCACTCTCAAGGTGCTAAATACCATTATTATAAAATAAATGGTTTAAATTTAATTATGTTTACCATTCATTTTATAAAATAAAATACAATTTATTTTTGTATTTATAATATTCTGATGAAATTGATTTTTTGCATAGATAATTTTTATTATGGAGTTTACAAGATAAACGGTTTGAATCATCTAGATTAAAATCTATAAGAAGAGTATGAAGAGGTATGAAGAGATAAGAAAAATCTAAAAATTCCCGTTGACTTCTCCGAGGATGAGAAAACCCCGAAGAGGAGATCAATCCCTCGGCGAACCCTTCTTCTTAGCCACACCTAACCAATGATCCCCAATCATCCCAAAGGGTCAGGGGTAGTCCCAGAGGACGTCCTGCCGCAAAATATTGCCGAGTCTCATGGACCCCCCGGGGTCGTGCCACCTCGACCCGGGTATAGGCTAGTTTAACCGAAGAGTGAATTTATCTCCACTCACCGTCCTCGGGATCGGGTCCTTTGTTCGAACTCCATTACGCCCATGGTTCTGGTGCGTAGATCCCGGAAAGCTCCGAGCCCGCAAGTGTTTTGGGACTTATTAACGGAGCGACTTCTAGATTGCGTTTGAATCCGTTCGAAGCCAGGTGCTTCGGATCTCTAGATTCGTGAATTCGAATCCTTTCGAGTCCGAGTGCCTCGGATCTCTAGGCTTGGTTAATACCCTTTTGAGTCCGGGCTCGAGTAAGTCTCTAGGTTCGTGAATCTGAACCCTTTCGAGGCTTAGAGCGATTCAGCCCGTTTGATGGCGATAAATCCGGGCCCACCAATCTTGGACATGCGATAAATTCGGACCCACCAATCTTGGACTATTGGGCCTAATTAATTTAGTGGGCTTAAATTAGCTCCTCTTACACTTTCATTCCGGTGGACTTGTCTTTCTTTGCATACCAATTATCAAACAATGCAATGGTCTTGTTGTTCGATCTAACCATGTAGAAACCGGTGTTGATCTTGTTGGATTTGGACCATTCATTGCCATAGAACACATCAGTACTGATTTGTAAGTCTACTGTTTCATTTGGATTGAGCCTTGGAAATGGATTTCTTAACCATATTACGTCAGTGTCCTGCCATTAAAACATCAATAAATCAATTGGATATAATTTTTCACAATCCTTAAACATGGAAATGATAGGATTCCATTATGTGATAGGCTTGTCTCCATTTGGAATGGAGTATTGAGTTGGGTTTGTAGGGCTTATCTCTAAAATTAAAAATTTTATTACAAAAAGTTAAGAGATCAATTCCAATCATCAAAAGAATCATCCAAAAAACATAAAATGATGACCTTTAGCTATCACTAATAAATGCACAAGACAAACTCAATTTGTGCAAGAAGGTTAAATTTTAAAGACCAAAATTTTGGTTTCAAAAAAACACTAATTCATTATTAAAAATGTCCAATTTCGTTAATAAAATATAACAATTATATTTTTGACAAGTAAGATATTTCGTTCATAAAAAGTAAATTTGTTCCTCAGTTTTTGTCCTTAATTTGTTGTAGATTTATTTTTTTAAAATAAATGTTCTATTTTTAAAACCACACTATTCGTCTATTTTTTTTTTCTTTTGAAATGAATTAATAAAATTATATTACTACAGTTATCGAATTAATTAATTAATTATTTTTTTTTCTTTTATAAATAATCTATACAACGAAGTCAACGTTAGACCTCTCTACCCAATCTACTTCAATGAACTTGAGAGCTGAGAAAATTTCATCCCTTTCAAGATATATGTACCTAGTTGAAAGCAACATCCCATCTTCCGAGGCAACAATGATTCATTCCATTAAAAATATTATCACTAATAGCACTAATGTATTAAAAAAGTAAAAAAAAAATATATATATATATAATTCTAAGATCAAAATATCACATCATTAATGGCGGGACCTACTATCACCTAATTAATGGGAATACTAATTAATACTTCCAAACATTTTTCCTTCCGAGGAGGGTTGACGCAAGACGCGAGGATCATAAATCACCATTTGTTTTAATCATTTTTTTAAATGAATACAAATCTAGTTGGAAGACAGCTTATGCATTTTTTTCAATGAATACAAATCTAGTTGGAAGACAGCTTATGCATTTTCTATATAACACACAAAAATCATGGTTAATCGATTGGGCTTCCGTTTGGGAAGTGGGTTGATTTTTTAACTTTTTAATTTTTTTAATTATTTTAATATGAGGTTAAAAAATCTGATTTAGAAAGGATTTTTTGACTTTTTTAACTTTTTGACTTTTTGATGAGATATCTTCCTATTAAATTACCAAACTGTCCCTGATATACATGTCAACTCATTGCATTTGGGCGTCCTCCATGTCAGATTGTTTGGACCGATTTTTTTTTTTGGGGGGGTGTTTGGATTTTGCCGTATTTTCATGTTTTTTTTTTTTTTTTAATTTATGTTTTTGTCATTTTTTTTATACTATATTAATTAGTTCTTGTTCTTTAATTTTTATTGGTATACAAATTCTTTTTTTAATTTTTCAAAAAATACATATTATATGAATATTTTTTGAAAAATTAAAAAATCCAAAGTACCTGAGATCCACCGTGGCCATCATAAATGGCGAAGAAATTGAGGGCGAGATCTCGCCAGAGCTTCGAGAACTAGAGGCGGTGCACCCTCCCACGTGATCGCACGTATGAGTCATGAACTCAAGCACGATGGCAACGGCGTCCTCCATCTCTCTCTTCCTCCCTATCACTGACATAAACCCCTACGTCACTCCCTTGTTGTTCTTCCAGGAGGCACTTCACTCTCCCCGAAACCGCCACAGACGCTGCCTCCGGCACTGGCGGTCCCACCACCAGTCTCGGCGGCACCGCCAACAAGGTCGAAGGAATCTCGCTAGAACTGCTGCTCGCGACGGAGATGTCGCCGGAGCTACTCGAACTCGTCGAGGCCAAATCTAGAACCGAGTCAACATGGTGAAGGTCCTCGTCTTCCATCTCTCTTCTCTTCCTTCACTTGTTCTCTGTGTGTGTGATTTACACGTTGGACCTCAGATTCAGAGGGAAGACCAAGGGTATTTTGGTAAATTTATCCCAAAAAGGTTTGAATCCAACATGTTGCTTCTGTTTTGTCTTCATTTGGCTAAATTAGCATTTTTTGTCCAAATGTGGCTAATTTAGCCCCAACTTCCCTTCCCAAACACTACCATACATTCAAATTTCTGGTTGTTTCAGCTATTTGGAACTATTAATTATAAGAACACAATCATATAACATCATACAATGATTTTACAATGACAAAAGAAGCTGTATTTAGCTTAGGCCTAGTTTGAAAATTCACTCATTTAATTTATTTTTTGGCTTTTTATGAAAAGATATACAAAATAGATAATGATAAGATAATTTATAGTAATTTTTTTGACTTTTTAACCAAAATTTTAAGTCTCCAAACAAGGCCTAAAGAAGCTTTTTAGACCCATAATCAAAAAGTAAAAATCCATTTGCCTTGAGTTAAAATAAAAAACAAAAAGGAATTTAAAAAGTTAGTTTATTTTTTTTAAATATAATTACTAAAGGCATTAACCTTTGTAGATTCTAAAAATAAATAATAATAAATAAAATCTAAAAAAGCAATATATAACAATGAAGTACATTCTCAACTCAAGAATAAGAAGGCAATTTGCCAAAGGTAAAAATTGATTATTTACTAGGGAGATGTTTACAATGTGTATCCTCAAAAAGGTATATATAGTATATTTTTCATAATTTTTTTACAAAATTTCATAATTTAGGCACAAAATGTCGTAACTTTTCACTACAAAAATCATAAATTTTTTCCATTATAAAATGTTCTCACAAAAATCACAAAATATCATAATAAAATTATAAATGTCATAACAAAAACCACAAAGTTTCATAATATTATCATTCCCAACTTTAGAGTACCCACCATAAAATCACTATTCATAACTTTATAAAAAAAAATATCATAACACACATCATACATAATCATAACTTGTGTCACAAAAAATCATAATTTTTTTTGGCGATGTGTATCCTTTTAAAGGGTGCATGTTGTAGATTTCTCCTCTTTACTATTACTTTTATTTTTTCATTACAAGACTTTTTTGTGTTAGTTTAGTTTTGTTGTGTTGTTAAATTTTTTTACATAATTATTGTCCCAGTATTTGTTAATAAGTTTTTACCAATTAAAAAAATGCAATGTTGTAATGATATTATTTATAAATTGACTTTTATGTTTATAGTTTTTAGAATTATTAATTTAAAAAATCAAAATAAATTGTAAATTTATATAATATAACTTTTGATGATCTATGAAAAAGTCTTTTGATTAAATAAGTTGGCACATAACCATTAATTGGGCAAAGGAAAATGAGTGAGAGTTTTAATTAGAGCTAAGCATTTCTAACAGTAGTAGGCATTTTACCTATCTAAATATTACTATAAAGTATATATTTTATTTTACCTATCAACTATTTTATGTTTTTACTCTGACCATGCTCTTTATTTTAGTCATTAATCCAAATACTATTAATTTTATAGAATGCCACGTCAACAACAAAGATGGAGGGAAATGATCCTAATGATTGAATACATTTTGCCTAGCGTTGAAGGCTAGCTACATGTAGCTAGTGAATTTTAGTTGAGCCAAAATGCCTAATCATATGCCTAGTGCGTTGGAATTGAAAAAAGTGAATCACACTAGGCATTTTAACTAACAAGTATTATATGCCTAGTGCATTAGAGATGCTCTAATGATGTAGCAGTAGGTCTCATCCATTGTCACAGCATTTTTTTTTTTTTACCTCATTAATAGTGGGTTTAAAATCACCAAATTAGTAGTCTCTATCATTGTTGCTGTGCAAATATCTACATTACCATTTTTACGCACAGAAGAGAATGACTTTTGAATGACGTTTTTGTCCGTATGCATTTAAAACGTTTACTTTATAGTTTAAAAATTAAAAAATTATTTAAAAAATCAAAAAATTATTAAAAAAAATAAATAAGTTAACAATTTGTACTAAAAAGTTAAAAAAAAATTCTTTCTATTTTTTGCACATTTTTTTGTAAAAAATTAAAAAATTATCCCAAATATACTAATTTTTTTACATCATATTTTAACTAAAAAGTCAAAAAGTTACTAAAAAATCATGTTCCTAAATGAGGCCAAAAAAATTACAAATTGTATTTTTTTTTTCAAATCTCTCTTCTTTTTTTTTTTGGTCAAATAAATTATAATTTAAAATTTTGGTTAACTTTTAAGTAAATCAAAGCCCTTGACCTAATAACTGTGTAACATCGGTGATTATTTGGTAGTTTGAGAGTACGGTCATGTGGTATTCCATGCTAATATGATTAGTGGAGAATGTAAAGTATTGATTATTTATGTTTGGTGATTGAGAAACATAAGAGACATAATAAATAATGATTGGTGAGAGAATATAATCATATAATATTATGAGACTATTGTATAATTTTATGTGTAACACCACTTTATGGTATAAAGTTGTGGATTCAAATTATATAAGAAAAATATTTGAAAATACTAATTTAACACCCCTAATTCACCTCTAATGATATAAAATGAACCATGTGGATAGATAAGTCTTTTTTTTTTTTGATCAGAGAAACCAATTAAGCTTCATTCAAAGATAAACTAGAAACAAACAGGGGAGGGGGGCATGCCACCCAATTTACAGGAAGATAACCTCCTAGTCTAGCTCGTGCAACCCAGTTAGCTGCACTGTTAGCACTGCGGGGACACCATCTGAAAGAGAGACCACGTTTGCATGCTAGAGCCTTGATATCAGCCACGGGGGCAGCACACTCCCAAGGGGGGGCATCCTCAGAAACACTAAGCTTGATTGCTCCTTGATTATCCCCTTCAACCTCCACGCGACTGAGCTGAAGGGTGTCACACATAACGCAGGCCAGACGAATAGCCAAAACTTCACCCTGTGTTAAAATTGATGTATTATTGATTGATGTATGCTATATATTACAAATGGTGAGGGGCTCCTTATATAGGAGATGTAGTGGAGTAGGTGGAGTAGGTGGTAGTGGTAGGTGTGTAGTA